CCTAACCCTGACCTGCTCCATACATAGTATGATCATCGCAGTCCATCCACATGAAAACAAAAGGATAAGCTAGAGTTCAATAAACAACCACACAAGCATAATAATAATTATCTATGCTACTCAACTATCAAATCATCAAATCATGAAGTCAAACACCATACACTTCATCATAACAATATCATGCAATTAAGCAACACATGAAAGATATCAATGCATATATATCATCTAATACGTCGTCACGCATACACCTAGGAGATCTCCCTAACAGTAGAGCAGTATAAGTGACATCCCAATCCTACCGAAACCACCCCAACTATTTTCACGCCCAATACGCCCGCTCGGTCACAGCTAATCAGGATATAAATCCTTCCTCAGGTTTACTCGGATGATGTCACTTACACACTTGGAAGTCCGGTTCCACCGTTAGGTATAGTACAACTGGATACAAGCTTACCACGACCTTGGCATGCATTACCAAGTCACTTGTGGAGTTCGCTCACCGACTATCCGCAAGGAACCACGTACCTTCCCTAGTACTTGGTTAAGGAAATAACCCTCGACGTCATATCCCACTCCAACACTAGCTAAGGACTTAGAGGAAACTCACCCAAACCAGTGGCCTATCTAAGCACCACTCTCACCCAAAAACAGTGGCCTACCTAAGCACCACTCTCATTTATATCAGTGGCCTATCCAAACACCACTCTCAAGAGACTCTATGTGAGCTCTTCCAGTTCGAAAATATTTCCATCTCCTCAAGTCCTAGGCTAGACACATGCCATAAGGCATCACATGCAATAATGCATCATACATCATACATGGACAATCTACCATCATGATCAATATCATCTTCATATGAACATATACACATGTCATATCATATCTAAACATTCATACTTATCATCACCAAACATACATATGGATCATACACCACCATACATCATATATCATACATACATGATCAATTCTTCAATGCTAAACATGCATAAGCATCATTCCCAAATTAACAACATTAAACATACTCATGCCCGGCACAACCAGCTCGCGCTCGGCCTAATCCCAATATGAGTTCTAAAAATCATCCATGCCTGGCATGAGATTCCCACGCCCGGCGTCCTTGAGATAGAAACTCATAGGAGTCTCCATGCCCGGTGCACCCACCCTATGCTTGGCGCCATCCAGACAGAGACCTCTAGAGGTCTCCACGCCCGACGCACTCATCCTGCGCTTGGCGCCATATTAGTAAAACACCCACCAAGCCACTATCTGATATCACGTCCGACGTGGTTCTTCTCACGTCCGGCGTGAATTCATCCAGAAACTCCTATTTACAATCTTGCCTGGCACGATTAACCTCGCTCTCGGCGTGATTAATAAATGGTAGCTCTGATGAATGCATGCCCGGTGCCCGACGCAAATTCATACAACAACCCTAAAAACTCGAAATTTTGCCTCAAAACTTGAAAATTAGAAGATTTTAGCCACATGCAAATCCATGAAAAAAATACATAGACTTCACACAATTAAAAAACATTCTCAGATTTAACATGCACCCACCCGATGCATCAAAATCACCAAAAACCCTATTTTGCCCAAAACCCCAAAATGAGCAATTCAACCCTTGATCCTTAAACTTCATGCATCAATCGAGTTTCTAAACTCACATGCAACCAAATTCCTACATTCTAGCTTCCCTCACCTGAAAATTGGCTCAGACTCGTCAAGAACAGAGAAGAAGAAGAAATTCTCTCGAAGCTCGACCTGTGGACTTCAATCCTCCAAAAGCAAGCTTCCTAGCTTGAATTCCAAGAGAAGTAGAAGAGATTAATAATCTAGAAAAGAAAAGGAATCAAACAGAGAAATTTGGGAGAGAAATGGACCCAGAGTCCTTCTCTCTAAAACTTCTCTCTAAGTTTTTTTGAGAATGAATTTATGAAGTTCCCTTCTCAGAGAAACCCTTATATACTCTTCTCTTTAGAGTCAACTAAACTCAAAACCAACTTACTACGTTATAACAATGTTTTTTTTAAAATTTTTTAATTTTATGTATATATTACCAACCTTTAAGAATATCCATAAAATACATGAGATTATTTCAATTCCTATCATTTCACATATAAAAACATACTTTCATTATTTAATTACAATCTATTTTTTTAAGGGTGGTAAAACGGATTAGTCTGACCTGTTTTAGGTTTGCCTCTGTTTGCCCACAAAAACAAGTTAGATTGAGTTGATCTATCGAGTGAAAATGAGCTAAATGTCTTGACTTGTCTTTATTAAGGGTGTGATAGTGAATCAACCTGTAAAAATATAATTTTTCTTGCATATTTTATTTTGAATATCTCTTTTAACATATTTATTTTTCAATATCTAAAGAATCTACATAAATTAGTATACCTAAATAATAAAATAAATATTAAATTACAATATATTTGGTTTGATTTGCTACATAACAAATATCAAAATTTGTTACATAATAAAATAAATATGTAATTGTAATAATAATAATTCTTTCAATAAATTTACTGCATAAAAAATCTCAAATTATATAATAAAATAAATTAAATATATAACATATTTATTAAATAACAAATTATAAGTTATTCACGTAATAAATGTCATGTGATTTATTTAAATTTAATATTAAAAATAAAATAATAATAAAAAATTAGAAGAAACGGCATGCCAACTTGCACCAACTAACCATTTTGTCCATCAGAATTCAGAACGACGGATTAGATAGATTAAGATGTCCCGCTAATTTTTAACAAATGAACGAGTCAGTCAAACTTGTTTTGCTATCCTTTTTTTTTTTTTTTTTTTTTTACACAAACACTTTACTTCTACTAGTTAGCAAATATGGGGCTGTGTAATTTGTATATAAAAAGAATAATGTTTATTAACCATTTCTTTTTGTGATAAAAAAAATGGATTCCAAATAACCTTTGAATACAATATTGTTTGATGCAGGAACTCTCAATCATAAGGTTATTTCTTTCGGCGATAGCTTTCATGATAGACTTATGAGGAGCTTGTTTTGTGTACCCAATATAATATAATCCAATAACGCAGGCCGCATCAGACAATGTTCGTTGTTTTTTATTGAACAAACATGTAGAGTTTCTTAGCCTTGTTTGTTCTATTTTATAATCAGAATTACACATACATCTTAATTTGCATAATAAATATTTGAATCAAAGAATTATATAAATTATCAAAATAAGAATTTAATTGTGACCGAAAATAAAGTAGAAAACACATCAAATTATATTTAAATTTTATCCCTTTTTATTTGTGTTGCACGTTATAAAGACAGATATTTTAAAAGATTTGAATGTCAGATTGATTAGAATTGCTTGAAAATTATGTTTATATACTAAGTTATGTGTAATACATTTTACCGAGATAAGCAATGATACATGAATCGAGGATGAACTTCATGGACTTGTCGGAGTGTAAATTTGTTGACAAACTTAAATATTTTTTTCACTCATTTTAGTAGCCATAACATTAAATATCACCCAATACAGAATTTTAAATTTTTATAATTTAAAACCTAATTTCACGACCACCATTTTTAGAATTTCCACTAAATTTTTACTTTTGAGCTTTTAAAATTTTGTATTTCAAAATCCTTATAAACTCTTTAACATTTGAATTGAAAATAATAAACTGAGACTTTTAAATAGATAAATAAAAATCAATGACAAAACTATATTTACTTAATTTAGAAAAAAAAAGGCTTAATGAGTTAAAAAAAAAAACTTAAAAAAGCCAAAACCATATGCAGTTAAAAACTTAAAACTAAAAGGACAAAATAATACAATAAGACCCAACCAAAGTGATACAAGTTGATGCTAGAAAGGTAGCCAACTGGGACACTAAACAACATACATGTGTGTTGTATATTAATTTCTAACAAATATTTGATAACTTTGGAGCATTAGCAGATCTTGCCCTGGCCCATTCTTAATTTGTTTTATATTTCCCATTCTTGGTTTCTACGGTTCTACCTCCATAGCAATATAAAAAAAATAATTTTCGTATGGTGGACAAAAGAATCAAGATTTGAAGCCGATAAAGAGTGTTAGTATCTTAATTAAACAAATATGTGAAGCCACGAATGATCCTATGGATATCTATAAAATCTGCAGGTATGTGCTAATTGGGTACGCAAGAAAGAGTTCAACTTGATTCTTCAAAGCAACTTGTCATTGATAACGAAAGAGACGTCCTAGCTTTCACATTAGTATGGTCCGTGCTACTAATTATGGTGTTTGAGAAAATATTACAAAGGAGGCATTGCTATTGTTAAATTGCGTGCTTAAGTCGGTATTAGAAATGGGAACAAAAGTGGACCTACCTTTATTTCTTTAGGCCCTTCAAACACAAGAAGTGTTGCACTTTAGGGCGGTGCATAGCCCATACAAAAGTCCACCTTCAAGCTTAATTCGACAAGGGCTGCTGTTTATTATTGCTGTCAGTGCATTAAAGAATGGTTTGAAGGGTACGGTTTTACTTATTTCGTGTCCTAAAGGCCCAAAACCCAAATTGCGTGCTGATCGTGGCTACATTAATCAATTAATGACCATAGCTAAATTTATCACTGACCTCAAAAAACAATTTTAATTGTTACCTTAAGAAATAGCTATCCAAGGAACAGATGGCTGGTGTGAGGATACAATACATTCATATTAATACAGGAAACGAGTAGATTAGTGGCCACAACTCAACTCTAGATTCTGGTTCAATAAAACTGCTATATGTACCCCAGCTTTGCATCAAATTAATATTAACATATTTAATCCAGAACTACAACAAACATTATCGAGCACAGGGATCAATCCAGTAAAACAAAGAATGCTCCAAGAAAATGCATAAAATATATTTAGATTCATTGCTTATTTCACTCATTATTTTCATTTTTTTTAATCTCAACAAGTATATTATGAACTTTCTATACTTTTCATTGTGCATGGCATTGAGTGGAAACTGAGTATGAACAAAGCTAGGTAGCTAATTTCGTTTGTAAATATGTACAATTTTTACATTCAGAGTTGGTCCCGTTGGCTTTTATGTATAATTACAATTCCCAAGTGAAATGTTTGCCAATCAACATCATGGCAGAACATAGCTGATGAACTCCTTCACTAGTTAGTGATCCAACAGTATCGAGATAAGATTGGTAAAACTACCGGCCAGTGGGTAAGTTAACACCTTCTCTGAAAAGGATGTTAGCTACTGAAGATGTCCATGTAGGGCTGCTAGCACTCTGGCTATCTGTATAATGACTTTCATTCTCCATTGCATTAACATTCATGTTTCTCCCAACTTTCTTTCCAATTGACATCCCTAGTTTCACAGCAGTGAGAAGGCCAAATGCAATTAGAACAGGTCTAACAGCCCAGTGGTGATCCTCTACATGTTGATACTTCTCTATCATCCTTGGACAATTCTTAAAATTAATCACATCAACCTCTGAGGGATCAGCCAAGAAAGTGCTTGGTTCACCCCCAAAGTTCAACATGCCTGGAAACTTGACAACTAGGCATCCATTTGGTAGGATCCAAGAAATCTTACCAGTAGACCAGGCACCTCCCCTTTTATGTGGCCATTCGAATCGAGGACTCAAAACATTGGCTTTCAGCCTAATAAACTGGCCTACACAGTAAGATTCTGCCATTTCAAGCTCTGAAGAGTTTCCTTTCCAAAGAGTTTGCAGGCCAATAAACCCAACACTCACTCTGCCATCACGATCGACAGAATGAAGAATACCCACAGGCGAGTGCTTCTCATCTTCTTCCTTCAAGCGTACCCAATCCCCAGCTGCCAGACCATTAGTGACACGTTCAAGAGTCGATGCATGAATCCTTACAGGGTCATGAACACCATGGATCCTCACTAAAACAAATCCGTGACCAGCATTACGTTCTAAACCAACAACATTTCCTTCTGGGACGTCCATGTTTTGAGGTTTGCATGAATTGGAAGGCTTTCTAGAGCGCACTGTGTCACCCACCTGAAGATGATCCTTTGAGAGGAACCACTGTGTGTAGTCAGTGCCACTTGATTTTGCTAAAGATTTGTGAGTTCCAAGATATCTCCATCCTCCATCATTGGCTACTGCACTCAGTGAACTGCAAGTTATGCAGAACAATTAAGAATTAAGTAATATTTAATAGCCGGACTTCTCTTCATGAAGATAAATAAAAATTCACTGAAAAGATAACCATGCTTAGTCAAAAACAGTGGCAGGCTTTTCTCAAACATTATTGTTTTAATACTTTCTGTAACAAAAATTATCCCGAGATTATTTGGAAGCACAAGTGTAAAATCTAATTAATTTTCAGCTAATTGCCAGCCCATTAAATGTTCAAAGTTCATAATCAAGCCTTTCAATATTCAAGCTACAATGCATGAACTTGCTAACTAAAGTGAGTGGCAAATGTTAAACAAGGAATCTTTCATTATTCTGTTTTCTATTATATGGGCTGAATATTAGAAATAATATCAACAATTATTATTCTTTCCAAATAATTGTATCATGAATTTAAGAATCAGCCTTAATTAGCAATTAAGGACTATGAATCATCTTGTAATATTTATAGAACATAATATATTGAGATTGGGCAAGGATGTTGTTTATGTTCATGTTGATACTCCTCTCAAGGATGTTGATAATCCATTGTTGTATCATCAATTAGTGGGTAGCCTTAATTATTTGACCATCACACATCCTGATATTTCCTTTGCAATCCAACAAGTTAATCGGTTCATGCACAATCCTTGTCATCTTCACATGGTTGTTGTATGTCGCATCATTAGATACTTGAAAGGTACTTCTCAACGAGGATTATTTTTTCCCGCTAGCACATCTCTTACCTTGCTTGCTTATAGTGATGCGGATTGGGTGGGTTGTCCCAATACTTGGATTGGCTGTGTGGCTTGTTGGCAGAACTTGAAATTCCTCAAACCACTACAACGCCCCTTTATGTTGACAACACTAGTGCCATTGAGATTGCTGCAAATCCGATGTTTCATGAATGCACCAAATATATTGAGGTGGACTGTCACTCCATTCGTGAAGCTCACTCTTGATGATCATATCATCACTCTTCCTCACGTCACTTCGTAGCTCAGCTCGCTAATATTCTTTTACCAAAGTTGTTCCTAGACCTTGTCACCAATTTCTACTTAGCAAATTGATGCTTCTTGTTCAACCGCATCAATTTGAGGGGATGTTAAACAAGGAATCTTTTATTATTCTATTTTTTATTATATGGGTTGAATATTAGAAATAATATCATCAGTTATTATTCTTTCCAAATAACTGTATCATGAATTTAAGAATCAGCCTTAATTAGTAATTAAGGGCTGTGAATCATTTTGTAATATTTATAGAACAAAATATATCAAGATCAAGCAACAAGCAAAAAATCCTTGACAAAAAAATCACCAGTTAGCTACTATATATATATATATAAATAAAAGAAGGGATTCGTTTACTCCACGAGTAAATTTACCTAAACTTAATCTGTCCAATAACTCATGTTCATGCATAGGTCAAGTCTGCAAATTTTTTAAAAATCTGAAAATCATTTGATATTTCGTTTCATTAATTCAAATTGACGGATGATCATAAAATCATTTTATACGTTGATTTGAATTAATGAAACAAAGTATCAAATAGTTTTCAATTTTTTAAAAAATTTGTAAACTTGATAGAATTTTAAATTAAACGACTAGATCGTTGAAATTAAAGTTTTTAATGCGTAGATCAAGTCTGCAAATTTTTAAAAATTTAAAAATTATTTGATACTTCATTTTATTAATCATAAAATTATTTTATTATTTGATGGATAATCATAAAATTATTTTATACATTGATTTGAATTAATGAAATGAAGTATCAAATAGTTTTCAAATTTTTTAAAAATTTGCAGATTTGATCTATGCATTAAGAACTTTAATTTCAACGGTTGGATCGTTAAAATTTGATGTAGAACATAAATAATTGAACGAAGTCTAGGTAGACTTACTCCTGAAGTAAACGAATCTCTCTCTCTCTCTCTCTCTCTCTCTATATATATATATATATATATAGACACACACACACTGAAGAAAAAGCCACCTAATTACATAAACCTCCTGGAAGCATTAAAAACTTACAAACCTTCTAAAGACGGTCAAAATATCTACCATTGAAGGGCGATTTCTCAAATCATATTCAAAACATCCGCTGAGGATATTTTCAACTGAAGAAGGAAGGCCACTAGGAATCTGGGGCTTTTCATGCTTTTCAACAACCGATCTGTATATCTCACTAACAGGACACCCATACCAAGGTTGATTACCAGTCAAAATTTCAACAATAGTGCACCCAAATCCCCATGAATCTGTTTCAAAGGATATAGGGCCTCTGACATCTGGTTGCCATTGTTCTGGAGCCATGTAATTTGGAGTACCAAGCCTGTTGGCCATATCTGAGCTTAGGAATAAGGAACCAAAAAGTAGATTCGGAATACCTACATCTCCCAGTATTGCTTGATCACTATCGTTGAGAAGCACATTAGATGGTTTAAGGTTGAGAACTAGGATCCCTTTCGAGTGAAGTTCATGAATACCTTGAGCCATATTGATACCATACCTGCAGCCCATAACATAACACCCCTTAGTTTAGACCAGTTTTGCTTTTTCCCCTCCACCCTGTGTATAAAGATAAACATGTAAACATATTTAAATGAACACGTCAGAATCACATTACCTCAGAACATCAGGCAACGAAATCCTTCCTTCTCTAAGTCTAGCCATCTTGTCACCAATTGAACCCTCGTAAAAATTCATAATGATGCATATCTGTGAGCATAAACAAATATATTAGCTATACATCAAAGTCTCACAAAGAAAGTTAAAGATCTCCCATATACTGAATAAAATGCATAATCCATGTCTAACCCTTCCATTTAAAATGGAAATTCCAAGTAGCCAGCACACCCTATCCGCTCCTTGGCACTGAAAATATAATTGACAAAATTTCTCTAATGCGGTCTTCATATGTTCCTCTCTGATTGAAGGTAACATCTTGGCAGCAACTTCATGATACTCATCATAATCTTCAGTGGATTGATGATGAGTTGCTAACCAAACATCACCAAAGGGTCCCCGACCAATCCTGTGTCTGAGTTTCAACCTTTCAGGTTCAATCCATGGGTCTGTGCTGCCCGATGAGGCTGTGACAGTTCTAAGGTTCTCAGTATCACTAAGCAAGAGTTCAAAATCAAAAGGAGCTGGTTGAGTAGCAATATCTTGTGCCATTCTTCAATCTGAAGTTGTAACATCCATAAAAAAATTCAGCAAAATGTAGAAAACAGAAACACAATAAAAGAAGAGCAATCTAATAAATCATCATGAATAGATGATCGTCAAGAATTCCCAATTTTTTTTCATCACCAGAGCAAAAACTTAAAAGTTGACTAAAAAACTAATATAATACATACCCAAAATTATCCCTGATAAAAGATAAATTTAGGGTGAGAGAGGTTAATCCATGCAAATATAAAAAGAGACAGGTCCATGAAAAATATATAAAAAAAAACCCACATTAATCCCTAAAAATTTCAAAAGGGTCATGTATCTTCTTTCCCTTTTCAGTCCCTTTTCAGCAGGAAGAAAACAAGTATGACATGCATGTGTGAATCTAGGATTAAAGATGAAATTTTTATAGTTTTGACAAATATATTTTCCTCCAATTTTTTCAGGAATCAAACTGAGTCATTACTCAATAATATAACTTAGTATTCATTTGGATCATTTCCCTTTGCAGAACCTCAATTTGAATCTTACGGCAACTAATACCCGAGTCAATCCCTCAAAAGCTCTTTTTGAAGGGAACAGAGGGAGCCTCCAAAACACAACTTTAACATAGAATAGAAACGTAATAGTTCAGTCACTGAAACACACCCAAGCATGCCAACACGTGCAACTAAAGAACAACAAACAAAAAACATGTAAATTCCATATGAAAAATACAGAGTTAAAAAATATATATATTAAAAAAACCATAATTAAAAAAATACGAAAATCAGATAGAATAACGAGTAACAAATTCAGTGTGCACGTACTCAGAAGAAGGAACTATCTTTAGCATGAGAACCGAGAAACCAACGGCTTGGTGAGCAGAGAAAATTGCTAGGTTTACACGAATTCAAACAAATTGAGAAGAACAGAGACCTGAACCTGAACGGAACTAAATGGAAAAATAATAATAAAAGGTAGGGGTAGAAATGGCATTTCAAAAATCGTGATGATGTGGCGTGACGATTATTGACGATATTTGATTTGATATGAATAATCAATTAAGCATGTATGATACTATGATTTAATCTATTCACCAAAGAAAAAAAAGAAATTAAGAAAGTATGATTTAATCCTCCCCGCCCCGAGTTTAACGCCATACCTTTTCACGATTTAACGTGACTTCCAGTTCCAAGTCGCGGTTATTGATAAAATAATTGAGGAGGGGAATCAAATAAATAAATGGAGGAAAAAAAATATGACCGGTGAGAAATTTCAGAAAAATTCATCGTAAAACTGATCGCAACCTCAGAAAAAATTTAACATATTTGGAGTAAATAGTTGTCACAGTTTGTATTTTACGATGTAGTTGTAGTTTAAGTGGGTAGGCATGTCTGAGTTGCAAATTGTGTAGCGGTTATAGTCAATTCGATGCTGTATGTTCTGAAGCTGTGTTGTGCTTTTTCATCATAGGTGAATTTATATATATAGAAAATTATTAGGGTGAGTTATATTAGGAATTTATCACGTATCATGTATGTTATTTTTCTCTCTACCTTTTCTTTTTCTTTTCTTTCTTTCTTTCAATGCTTACACTCTTAACTTCATATTATCACCATCTCCACACTCCACTTAATTCTATAATTAAAGACTAAAATATAATTAAATATTTCGTTCAATACTATGGCCTGTGATAACCTAGAGTTGTATCATGGTGATGTGTATGTTAGATTCACAAGATGCAGAAGGCTTGTTGATAATACTTGTCCCAAGATCCATGCGTGATGTTCTTGGACTACAGGATCAGTTTCGGTACTTCATGTTGTAGGAAATATGTTGCCAACCTTCCGGGAGACCTCCCTTCTTGCTTTAGGAATAGCTCTTCCTCCTAGGGTCTGCCCTCCTCTTTTCTTCTTGTTTGGTTCTCTCTTTAGTTCCCTCACCAAAAAATTCTTGGATCTCCTTCATCTTTTATGTGTACATTAGTAGGGCTTGAAAATTTAAGTATGGTTGCTATAACCAAATTAACTTAAAATCATTTATAAGACTTTAAATTTAGCAGATATGTTAGCAAAACACGCTATAACATACTATTAGTATATGGAATTTATTAAAAATTTACAAAACTCTTGAGAGCTTCATTTTTTATTTAAACAGTTTCACTCATAATTTTGTAATTTTAAAACTTTTTTAACTAATAAGAAAAAAGTATATTAGAAGAAGTATGTTTTTAATGCTCCGTTATCAAGAATATTGGTTGCTAGAATTTAAAATAATGTTAATTTTCCTGTCCTTGACTCCTCGCAAAATATTGATTCCATTTATCGGGGGTACAAAATTCACAACCTACTTATTATCTGTTAAAATGGAGCCTATTAGACATTTGGTCTAAATTAAAAAAGAAAAAAAAATTCTCATTTTCTCATTAGTGATATAAAGATATATATATTCGAGTTGATGAAGTCCTATGGCAAGATCAGGTACCATTTATAAGCATTACCATTTGGACATCATTTCCGGCAATGACTTGTTGGCGTAACCTATTGAAATGAATGGTTTTTTGTTTCATTTTTTTTGGCCCGGTAACATGATCATTTCCTGTCCGGAGGACAAATCCGTTTGCACAGCCATCGCTGACGAGAGAACCAGAAAACCAAATGCTATTGACTATGAGTTTATTGACTGCAGTCTACAGCTCTCATGATCCCTTCGGCCACATTGAGCTTCATATCAGCGATGCATTGTTAGAAAACAATCAAATTAACAAAACGGGAGTATTTCCTAGCAAGCCACTTTTAAATTAGTCAAAGGTTCTGCAGAATCTATAGCAGCCTTTCATTTCTCGTCAGATAGCAAATACATCAACACATTCCAAAAACAAAAATATCACTCAGTGTCTCCTCCTCAATACCCGAAAAAGAAATTAACATTTAATGGGAAGAGATGCACATAGATGGGGTGGGGGATTTTTCCTACGTATTCTAATATTTTTTAAATAACGGGGGCCATATTCATACGTGAATCTGGGATTATACATTGAAGAGTATTGCGATTAAACAATTGACACATCCAAAATGGAAAAGTAGAAACAAGCAATCCTTTGGTGAGGGATTGAGAATTACAAATTAAGCACTAGGAAGAACCTTATTAACAATCTCCTGACTTAGAGCAGCAATCTGGGAATCAAGGGACTTGATGGTTTCTTCCTTTTGCTTCTCCAAGCTAGCGAGAGCCTCCTGCAGCTCAGCCTCCACTTTCTTCCTACCCTCGGCAATCTTCTGCTCCACCTCAGCCTGCGTCTCCTTCTTCATCGTGTTCAGAGCCGCCGCTATCTCCGCCCGAGCAGCCGCCATCACTGCATTGGCCTTCTCCTCCAACTGCTTCACCTCCTCAGAGGTGTCCTTCACGCTGCTCAGCTTCTCCCTGATCGCCGCGTCCCTTTCGTCCATGAATTTCCCAAGTGGGGTGAACCAAACCTTGTCCAAGGCAACCATCAGCAGCAGAAACTCCGCCATTATTATGGGCAAGGTCAGGTTGAAATCGAAGAGAGCTGCTTTCTCTATTTCTGCTGCAAGCGAGGGCTGGGCCAAGACCAGTGGTGCCATCCCCATGAGGGACAACAATTGGGGCTTTGAAATTGGGAGTTTCAGCTTCAAGGTTGGGACTTTGGGGAGTGAAATTTGGAGAATGGGAACTCTGGGTGTGGGGGACCGGGAGTTAGTGCAGACTGGTACCAAGGGTTTGGAGGAAGCCATAATCATGTTCGCCATGGTAACCGCTTTGTGATTAGGATGGATGTCTCAGCTCAGTCTGAGGATTGGATTGGAGAGAAGAAGAGGATTTGAGAACAGGGCTATCTAAATTCTTTGCCACACAAATTGAGTGATGAGGTTGTGTGGCAGTGGCTGTCTGGCTAATGGAATCTGGAAGTTGGACACTCACAAACTAGTTGGAAGGTTCCATTTCTGAACGGATCAGGCCTTGGCCCATTTGTTGTCTACACAACTAATACCTACCCCCTTCATTCCCCCTAGGCCCAAATGTTTTAATTTCGGTGCAGTCTATTACAAATAAGACCAAAAATGTGGACTGACTAGTTTAAATATAAAAATAACGTAGCATTATAAATTTTTACAAGCACTCAAGTGTAACAATGTCACAATAAAAATCAAAGCTGCAATCGAATTAAACAAACCTATAATTTTAATGTCTTTCTGCTTTATCACAATTTTGGGTGATAAAAGAGAGGTGGGGGAAAATCGTAACATATTAAACCAACTAAAAAAGCTTTCCATTGCAGGTATATGTTGTGACCCCAACTGCAGCAACTAAGTAACATAAAGTCTTGCCATGGCTGACAGACTTTGCATGATGAACTCAACTACAGTTCCCAAGGCATCTGTACAGGAATATGAGGAAACTCCAACTGCAATATGGTACGAGTCAGAGTGCTTCGCTCAGCAAACTTATTTTTGTCTCTGTCACTAAAAGAGCCAAGGCACGTACGGTTGAAAAATTCTTTTTATTTACATCGTGTATAAAGAAGAGGTTAAAAACTTAAAATCATTAAAATGAAAACTCTATCAATATTCTCTCCAAGTGGGTCGCCGAGGGTAATGCTGCCTCCAGCAATAGCGTAATAAAATTCTTCTAATTTTTCTAAAACTGCTCACTACACATCTAGCAATCATCGAGCAACAAATCCTGCCCTCAATTCTAGCTCTTCTCATAACTGCCAGCCGGCTATGAGAGAACAATCCTCCCCAAAAGCCAGCTAACCTACTCTTTCCTCCTCGATTTTCTTCTGCATTGCTATGCTGGATCTTCCCATTCTCTATGACTATATCATCCAAACCAATGTCGTCGTCTTTATGTTCTTTCTCTTGATATATATTCTCTTGTGACGATGACCTGCAACTCCATTTATATCATCCAAAGTGTAAGGACTTGTTTGAGAATATTATAGCAACGTGTATGAAATTAAACTAAAGGTAAATCCCCTTCTTTGTGGTTCCATACCCTTTCAAAGAAAATCATTATGTTCTGGTAAAATAATCACGAGTGCTAATTTTCTGGGCAAATTATATATTTAATTTAAGGTCCCTCCAGTTATGGTGTCATACAGGATTTTTAATTTTATTTTGTTTAGAAAACAATACATACTACATACAACTCTGCAACATCTACTTATGTATTATTTTAAGTGAATTTCAAAACATGTAATAGGTGGAGAATTCTTCCATTTGGAAGACACCACCAAGCAATAAAGCCTAATTAAAAATGAGATAAAAATCACAAGGCAGATACGGCTGATTGAGCTGATTTTCTACAATGCCAGTAAAAGGCCAAAGCTCATCTAATGCAACATACATAGAGCCTAGAGGCAAACAGAATGCAAGTAAGCCAGAATATTTGCATGGTTATATCAAAAACTTACCTCCTGTGTTGTTTCAAATTGATAATGCGCTTCTTCCGCTGCTTTCTCTCAAAACTGCAAGTGTCAGATACATGGCGCACGAAATGAAGCTGCAAATACCAAACCAAAAAGAATTATCACGAGTCAAGAATCATGAGACCAACGGACTTCTACCTACAACATTAGAAGAATGAAACTATAACTAAGTAACGAACAAGTAGCTACTTAAATTTCCTTTTCCAATATTAATAAGAACCATATAATTATAATCAACCTTCCTTTTCAACGTCACTGGTTATAAATTAACCACTTATTTGGAAACAAAACGAATTCGTATGTAAATCAACCATTTAGTTGAGTGCAGCACTACAGGGATCAGCTGGCTCTCAAGTAAATGTAACACAAACCTGGTCACCGTCCTTGATGCCATAATCTGTAATATAATCCGTTTCTGAAACTAATTTTTGTCCTTGATAGCATAAGCAAAATTGCCGCCAAACAAGTGGCCTACATAAACAAATGAAGAATAACAGGAAAAAAGGAAAAAACTTAGGCATACAGCAGATTATGATAGATAAGTAAATAGAACTGCAGAGTTAAAAAGAAAATTAAATCACAGCCCTGTTGTACATAGCAAAATACTGTAAATTTTCAGTAACTAGTATAATCAAAACCAAGAAGCTTTCAAAAATCAAATTAGTGAAATTAAATAATGACACAGATAAAACTTAGATACAGCTTATATATTAGTAGTATTGTTTTACAATTAGAATTGAAATTTAACCTCACTAATTCGCGTAATAAAAATATATTTTAAAGGATTACACCTTGATGCAGGCTCGAATCAACACCTTAAAAAATTATATCCAAGTTTTGCCTTATTCAGCAACATATGCAAGATGACTAATTAATACGCACCATAATATTTTTCCCGGTCCCTTCCGAGGCATGTGATAGAAAACAGCCTCCACTGCCTGCTTGAGATCCGCAACAGTTGCTGCATTTGCGACTTCAACACCTGCAAACAAGGAACGTTTCTTCACCACCGCAATAAAAACAGGAAAATAATGCTCGTAAAATTAGGAGAAAGAGAAGGCGAATTACGGAAGTAAGAAGCGTCCAATCTGACGATGTTGAGGTTGAGCGTTTCGAAAGGAACTCCGTCGCCGGAAAAGGTGGCATCTAGGTTGGCCGGCGAAGAGAAGTGCGTGGTCAGAGATGGTGGAGGGATTTGGTGAGAAACAATCAACAACCTTCTCTCCTTCATAACGTAGGGTCGATTGTCATCAATCCGCGGTGTTTGAGGGAACCAGAGAAGGGGATTGTTGAAGCGGAAAGAAACGTATTGAGCAAATGGAGTTAGGGTTTCGCTGCGAAAGGTGTTGGCGGTGAATGGTTGTTGAAGAGCGGGGTTTGCAGACGTTGATGACGGTTACGCTCGGTTCAATTTTTTGTTTACCGTTACACGCGCCACCAACTGTCCCAACGTCTCTACCCTTTCTTCTCTTTTTCCTATCGATCAATATGTTTGTGAACGAAACGTTCTTTCTTCACATTTCTAAGTATAAATACATGCCGTGGAAATATTGATTATTTCAAAAATCGGGTTGAATTTTATTTTTAAAAAATAACCAATTAAATAAAAATCAAATTCACCAAGAACTTACAACGCTTTTTAATTGTGTTTTCACGAAAATAATAATAATAATTATGATTATAATTGGTAACTATTGTTTTTAAGTTTTTAGCATGATTATTTATTTTGAAGGATTTAATTTAAATAAATTAATTTGTAAAAGGTTTTATACCGTTATTCAATTATTAATTGGGTCCGTTTGTTTAATTTTTTTTAAAAATGTTTTAAAAAATAAATAAGAGTTGTTTTTTTATAAAAAAAATACTTATTTTAAAAACAATAAGTTTAAAGAAGCATCAAAAAGTAACAAAGTACTTAATTTATTTTTAAAAAAACTTTGATAATTTTTTTTAAAGAAACATACCCTCATATTGTATTATATGATTGTTGATTTTCCTAAAAACTACTTAAAAAGTTACACTCAAAATGATTACTAACCGAGTGATAGTGTCATTTTTTATATATATATATATTATTGATACATAAAAAATACATTTCTATTTTGAATTTAAATAAAGAGCTTTTACATTAATAGTGTAAGAACGTAGACTTTTCTAAAACTTTAAATATCATATTTAAGGTAATTTTTAATTTATCAACGATGTAAAAAAAATTACATTGACAACGTATTAAAAATAAACTTATTTCTTATTTTTATATAGTGAGAATTCTTATTATAATAAATAAGAACCACAAATATAAACAACAGGATCATATTTAAAATTCAGAGAAAAGAATTATGTATTTTGATTTAAATAAAATTCATTAGTTTATATTAGTTGATTTCATATTTTACAATAACCTGATGTTCTTTTTATAAGTAACTTCGCACACAGTTTATACGTTGGGGTGTTATAACTCTTGCTCCTTGCTCTTTATGACTCTGAATCCAAAATTGGGACAATTTTATACTCTCTTAATCAAAAAGAAATTTGTGGTCGACAGGAACACGGTGTAAGACGCAAATCATCCAACAATAACAGACATTTCAATTACCGGACAAAACTTGGATATAATTACGCAAGTGTTTTTAATGTAGCCCTCAAATCGAAATTATAGTTTCACATTAATAATTTACATAATAATTTTTTTTATTAAACATTAATGCAATCGAGATAAAAATTTAATTCTAATTAAAAAATACTTATAAAACTTCATCCAAACTTTGTCCTCTCTCTATATATATATAATGGTAAGCAAATTTTCGTGATTTGATATGCATGGCAACATAGAACATAAGATGAACTGGTAGATAATCAAACTGCAGTATCATAAGTTCCCTTTGAAAGAATCTTAATACTATAATCGAACCTCAAAACCATTTAGTTTACTCTCTCCCTTTATCATGTTTTCGTACCTCTCAAAAATATAATAAACAGATACATGAAAAGCCCAAAAAGGAGTATCTTGATCCAAAAATCGAACCTCAACACTGTTATTCTCTCCTCTTATCACGTCTTCAACCTCCCAAAAATAAAATGAAAAAATAAATTATACATGTAAACTCAAGAAATTTCCCTCCCCAAGACGGGGAACGGGGGTACAATGGATTCATCAGATACAACGGCCATGGGTGAACTCATTGCTAGATCAGAGGCAGGTTGAACATAATAAAGCCATGATATTATGTACTAACTCAGTAAAATCTCCTAATAAATTAGATTAGCTTGATCACATGTTCGATAGATGGTATGGTCAATTCGGATTCTTTTCCTTAAGGATGAAGTGAAGATTAGATGAAGGAAGCAAATGGTAATCCGAAATCCATAGACATCAACCGAAGAACTTGGGCAAGTTATTTGCCAATGAGCTTATAGTAAGCATATAAACCAGAGCCGGCAAAACCGAGAAATTGTCCTACTACATTCCACTGCAACCAAAACACAACACATTCTATCAACAGGAAAAAATACCCTAAATGAAAAGTGAAAGTCAATTGGGATAAAAGCACTTACAAAATCAAATGGTAGCCCACCAAAAATTATCCAGCCAAAGCCAATAGTAAACAGATCCTAGACATTTATTCAGAACATTTAGAGTCCATGCATAAAAACCGCATACAACCATCAATTATGGCAATGATCAGAAATGAATATTTAAAGGATTGTAGAAACGAGTTTACACTGTAGAAATGGGTTCTATTGTATCTTTGGTGTTAATTTTAAAAAAATAGAACGAAGCATAAAATTGGGTTGAAGTTAAAACCAAGATAACAAAATATTATATTTCATTCTAGCCACACACATCAAACTCTACATTAGTGTCATGTCCCAAATAAAGGTCTCCAATGCCAACCAAATACCATAATTATGCCTCATCAATCAGAAACAACTATTCTGCACTAAAATGCCTAGTTCCATTTTTTTCCTCAATTGTTTATACCTTCAGCTTCAGAGTGCACTTTAGAGAGTGCAGTATACTTATAACCTTTTGATTAGGAAATCTACTGTTATGATTTTAACAATTTTATATCATTATTATGGGCATATTTTTGTCACAATCTCGACCATGGACTTCTAATTAACAATTATACTTACACTTAGTCCTCTATAATGCATTTCCTGATTTTACACGATCCCAATCCATATTTAAAATACTACTCTCAATACAATTAATTTAAAATCGCCTCAGTCCCTACTTCCATGTCTGATCACTGATTAGTTAAGTATACGCCCATCTCTATCCCCACCATCTTAACATGCATCAATGTCCATGAGGAAATTAATAGTTCATTTCTCTTTCAATCTCAACACACGACAATGTGCTTCCCCGAATTCCAAGTTTTAATAGCCAATAGGTGTACCAATGCATCCTTGTTTCTACTCAAATATTGGTCAAGTTTTTACTTAACAGAAAATATTCACTCCACCTAAATAGTCCTTGCAAAGAAGGGTCTGTGCAGTAGCTTACTACTATGATAACCCCGTGAAAGAGAAAGCTTATACATCATCAGTGCCAACATGGAATTAATAGGTTCATCACACATTTAAGGCAAAACAACTAGTGTGGCAAGTGAACAAACCTTTAGGTTACCGCATATTGTCTGCGTCAGAGCTGAATTGAGAGTTGTGTTAAGAAAAATACTGTAATTCAGGAAGAAAGCGAGGATGCAAGAAAAGAGCAAAACAACCTGCACCAGAAAAACACAAAAATTACAACTCATCACAGTATCAAAATTTCTTTTGGAAAGTAACCAAGGATCAAAACAGCTATTTAGTAGAAGGAGAAAAGCTCAAGCATAACATACAAGAAAACCAGGTGAAAGAAGGTATGCAAAATGGAGTGTCATTTTCAAGTCACCCCGAACTAATGTCCAAATAAGCAAAAAAGGTCCACATATGACACCTATAACACAATAGAAAAAGTATTTCAAATCACAAGTACATTAAAAAGAAAATGAACATGCTTCCTTTCACAAGGAAAAAAAAGGTAGATAGGCCATTTGATACAATTTATCGTCTTACCATTACACCACATAAGGCCAAAGCTATTGAGGCCACTAGTTTTGCCTGAAAAAAAAAACATAATGCCAAAAAAAAATAAGAAACTAAACGATGACCATTAACCACATGGGAAAAAGGAATAGAGTTTCCCTTGTGTATGTGAGAGAGAGATAGGATACGAATACAACCAACACGAGCTATGGTTGCAAGATATATAGCCGTTGTGATGTTTGACAGGAAAACAATGGCATAGCCATAGGCATCAAAAGAGAAATCCCGCGCTCCCGCAATAAATGCACCGAAGACAATCAAGCTAACACTGATAACAACCTTACAAATTTCAGTTAAATGAACGAATCAGGGACATGTTCCTTCAATGAACAATTAGAAGTTTAACTTCATTCAGTTATATCAGGAAAAGGGAGAAACAATAAACTAGAAAAATAACAGAGGACAAGAATTTTTTTTTCCTTTTTGAACAAAGCCTACTCTACCATGTGCCAAAATTCAATTTTGTTTAGGAGAATGAGGGTAACAAGAATCAATGTCCTGACCACTAGGTCAGAGTGTTTCTAAGTTAAGAACAGATCATGGAACATTTTCCAGTCTACTTAAATTATCCATTGCACATATTCACCAAAATTTCACATGCATTGAGTCATCAAAGATTTATTTAAACACAATATGGATTTGTTCATCACATCATGCAATTAAAAGAAAGTAATCTACCTGGATATGACAGGAGGTGTGTACCTCTGCCCAACCAGCATATATTCTACAAGCATCGTAAATACCACTGTAGTCCTCCTAAGGGTGGTGTACATTGGAACATTTACTCCACGAACAGACTCCATGGTCACTAGCTATTGACAGGGAACACAGGAGTGAATGCTATAATAAAAGAGAATATAAATAGCAATTGAATTTTTTCCTTTAAATAAAAGGGAGGGTGTACCATGTAAAGTAAATATGCCCCTGCTAGGGGAAGAGTGTGCTTCAAAGTCTTGAGTGGCACAAATTTTTTGGAGTTATCTGCCTTAATTACTGATTCGCCTGCTGTGAAAGAAATTACCCCCCAGCGCCTCAATACATAAAGAAAACAACATGAACATACCATCTGCAGTGGTAAGAAGTGTAGAAGCGTTTTTAAAAATGTGAAAAATATCTGATGGAGACTCAGGTCAGTTCAATTGGTATTCAAGTTGCAGCCTTGCAGGGCCAAAGTGGTCAAGCAAGGCATAGACACACACTGTCCTAAGCATTTTATATTCAATATCATTACTTTCTATCTCAAATGAATGAAATCTAACTTTTGCATTATTGCTCTAACTAATTTTGATAATCCCTATTCTCTAATAACTTAGTTTGAAGAACTTCAACTCTTACAGGGATTTTGTTTGATAGCAAGAACACCTAAAGTTTCAGTTGAGAATGATGCACAAGAGCATTAGAGAAGCAAAAATGAGGAAGAGAGAGAGAGAGAGAATCGACAAAAATAATTGAAAATGCAAGTTTACTGTAGCATTGTCAATTTATAGATTAAACCTCCATTTTAATCCACAAAGGATGTATTTAGGACTTGGGTTTTGAGGGGAAGGGAAAGACAGGGAAGAGAGGAGGTCAATTTTTTTTAATAAATATTCTTTAATTTTATAACTTTTTAAAATAAAAAAATAAAATGATAGATTAGTATAAGCTCAGTATCCTAATATTTTGCTTTTTTAAAAAAAAAAGAACATTATATAACTAAATTTAAAAATAAAAAAATGTCCTCCCTTCCCTTTTCCTCCAAAAATCCACTACTAAACATACCCTAAAGATACACAAGTCATCATTTTGGTCCTCAAGATAATTTTGACATCAATTTTGTCCCTTAATCATGGAAAGTGCCATCAAAATGGAAATTTAATCTAATATATAATTTCCCATAGCATTTGATCCTCAATGGTTGAGATATTAAGGACTGACTGGAGTTATAATCAGTCAATCATTCTGTAGTGACCAGATTTGAAGGAAGATATTTATCATTCATAATCTTGCTTTTAAGACTCATCAACAAGGTCTACCTCAGTTGTTTGAACAGGGTACGTGAATATTGTAAAACTCTTGGTACCAATTTTGATTTCCATGGATTAAAAAAAAGAGACTCATCATAAATAACATTGCTAAAACTTTGGTCTTTAACCGAGCCAAATGACATTGTTTAATCTATGTAGTCAACCTCACTTAGTGAGTCAAGGTTTTGTTGTTGTTTGTATTTTCTTATTTTTAACAAGAGTGGAGAACAAAGTTTTTTTGGTTTACAATTTTGAGCAAGTGATGGCTGAAATTCTTAATACAACGAAGTAGTTCCATTCTTAGGCTTGTTCCATTAGAACCACGTGTATAGCATAGTCGTCTCGAGGATGAGACAACCTACTTGAATACTGAATAAAAATTTGGCGAAACCATTCATTGATTACATCAAACGAGGGATGCTAACGAAAGTTATTCTAACGCTCTCTTTCTATTGCTCTTTTTATTATTAGTAAAAAATTATTGAAAATCACAAATTATGAGTCTCCAACTGATTTAGTAATCCAACTCACCAAAATTTGTGATTTTCAACTAATATAGAGAGAATATTAGCCAGAAAGTGTCCTTAGAATTTCTCTACATCAAATATATCATGAGCCTATTCCAGCCATTTGATTATAAGTTATAACCATTGGCAAACAAAGGAGTCCTACACACTTACGTCCCCCAACATTCTAGTGTAGTTCATAATTTCATATTTTGCACTCAAATAATAATAACAATGATGATGATAAATTGATAAAGTAAATGTAGATGAACCTGAAGAAGCGTGATGACTCTTGCGGATGGAAAGTGATAAGACGAAAGAGCGGCTTTATTGAACAGCACCAAGAGAACTACAAAAGAAAAACAGAGATTAACTAACAAGACGAAACAGTGATCTTAGTTTCAGCAATTACTTTAATTGGAGAAAAAAAACGAAGGAAAAAGGGGATAAGAAGAGTGAGTGGAACCTGCACATAACATGTAAGAGATGGCAGCATAAACCCTTCGTCCTCCGAAGGTCTTATTATCGCCGTTCAAAAGCCTCTCTCGGTCTTCCTCATTCGGAGGATCCGATACCGGAAGCATCAGATTCTCCGACGAATACGACGCTTTCATAGACATTCCGCAATTCTCAAACCTCAGCGTCTCAGTTTCGCGATTCGGAGGAACTTGACTCGCTTCTTCAAATCTTTCTGGCGCTGCCAAACCCGCCGGCGTTTCTCTTTTCGATTCAGATTCTTTTTTTTAAATCAGATCCTTAAAGTAACTAACCAGTAAAGTGAAATGAGAAATTATTTTTTTACAACAATATTTTTTATTCTTTTTTTTTACAGTAGGGAGATAAATAAGGAGAGATAGATTAGAGAGAATGAGATAAAATAAATTTTTATATCCTCAATTTTTTTTACATCATTTCCTCAATTTTTCGGAATTCAATTTTTTTTAACTTTTACTCTTTTATTAATTTTTTTCACATAAATTAATTATTAAAATTAAGTATTAATTATTAAATAATGATATATATTAATAAATTCTTAATTGACTTAATTGATATTTACATCAGTACTTAATAATTATTAAATTGAAAGACACGTGAAATTTTACTATTTATATATAGGTATAGGGATAAATAGTCGTTTAAATAATATATTTTATTTTCAAAAAAATATTTGACTACAAGAATATACAATAATTATATATTTGACATCTATTAAATATGAACATTAATTATAAAGTCAATTATAACTTATTAACATATTTCATCGCTTAACAAATATGATGTAATTTTATCATGAATTAATTTATGAGATAAAAAATTAATGAAAGATTAAAAGTTGACAAAAAAAAGTTTTAAAATGACTAAAAATCAAAATTTTAAAAAATTTGATGAATTACAAATTTATTTAACCCTAAAATAAATGATTTAATGAAAAAAAAGTTTAAAAAAAACTAACATTACATATCATGAACCGTATAAATCAATAGTGAGGATCAATTATGATATTTTGCGAATTTTCAATTTAGTATATATATATATATATATATTATTGATCATTTTACATATAAATGTGTACTTGTATTAATGGTTAAGCCTCTAATATATTTCTTAATTTAGTCTTTATATAAATAGTACATTATATTAATATAAAAAAAAACAATACATTCTTAATTTAGTTATTATATATTGTATTTTTTAATTTTATTTCCATTTATAAAAATTAAATTAAAAATATATTACAAATGTGTTAAATGTATAAAGATCAAATCACATGAGAAAGATAACGATAGTTAAAACTAAATCAATAACGTTTCGATATATAAGGAGTAATTTAATAAAATTTTATGCATAGAAATGTAAGTTAAAAAATTATAATCTGAAAAAAATTGAAAATTTATAACATATATATATATA